TATATATATATATATATTTAGAGTATATTTTAAGTTTCTTCTCTAAATATCAAAATTAACTAAATGACATATATTTCTAACACAATAAAGATAAGAAATAAGAGTTCACCTTTTCTTCAAACTAAAGGCATTTATAACTCTTTTTGAAAAACTAAATATAAAATATCTATACATATATTTATATCCTTCAAGTCTAACCTTTTTGAACGGTTTCTTCCACGATGCTTCCTTCGACAATCGGGTAAACCGACTCGTGGCTAATCGACTCGACGGCGGTTGCGTCCGTTTGATCAACCCTTGGCTCGTTCACCTCCGGAACTAGAGGTTCCGGGCTGGTGAGTGCGCTGGAAGTTGCCAAGCTGTCTGAGCCATCGCTTCTGGGTCGGATCTCCTCGTGGTTCCCTTGTTGAGGTACACCCAGACCTTCGGCAGAACCGACGGCGCTGTCGACGCTGGGCGTCGACGTCCTCGGACTCTGTCGATTGGGACTGTTTTGGGGCGTCGAGCTACCTGGTGTGACATCACCGCGACGACGGGGTAACGTGCTCGCGCGAACGTCTTTAATCTCGGAGCGATTAGACGCCGCGATCGGCTGAGTTTTCTGTCGGTTCACTGGAAGAGGAAAGTGCGAGTTCGCGCTGAAAGTAAAATCTGCATCTTTTGCAGAAATTCATGAGAAATTAGTAAGATTATCCTTTGTTTTATTTCTGTTTTATATTTTAAAATTTCGTAATTAAAAGATTCTGCGAGAAAATATTCAATGATTTATATTTATCATAATCAATATATCAATATCGATATTAATAGAAAATAATAAATAGAAATTTATAAATTTTAATTTTTTAAATTTTTAATAGATATTTTATTATTTAGAGAATAAGTACTAAGAAATTGAAACGGCTCTCTTGTGAAAAACACAATTTAAATTATCCGAGCAATTAAACAAATACAAATTGTAAAATATATCGTAGTATTTACAGAATAAATATTATTTTCTATTAATTCTCATTGTCAATCTTGTAAAACTTTAAAATAAAAGTATAACGCATTGTAATTAAATTTATATATGTATATATGTATATAAAAAATATAATACTTTTTGTAACAATATTGCAGTATAAGTTAACTATAATAAACAAATTTTTTTACTTGGGAAAATAATTTAAAAAGACAAATAACAGAAAGGGAATATGTAGCGAACTTAAACCTCCTTTGTCCGAAACATTAACCGTTATTACTACTATAATCGTGACATTATAAAAAAAGGCAGACTTTGGTATAAATACGAGTAGTTTCCATAGATACTAGCCGCCTGACGTATTGTAAAGGCGTATTACGCGCGAGCGTTTTTAATAATAACTCAAGTGCTCTTGCACCAAGCAACACAGTGAGGCCGTCTCTCAGCCACGAGATGAGAGAGCACCGGAGGAAGTCCTAATTACCTCCTCGAGTGTCACGTAAGTTTGGCAGCGCTCTTAGGTCGAGGAGGTGTGTGGACCATTCCAATAATAACAAACAGACCGTGCGAGACGAGAGGAGATCTCGAAGATGCGAAACAGCGCGCATTTCGTTGGCGGAGTTCCGGGCAACGCGTTCTGACCGATTAAGAAAAGTGTGCAATACAAAATTTTATTCCGCACACTTAGACCAAAGAAATAAATTAGAATAATTTCGCCCAATCCCATTTTTCAATGATATAAATACGAACAAATCAATATTTTGTATACCAAATATGTTTTCACAATCTCACATATACGTACATGTAAGCACGTACATATCATTTTCATGTATCTTGAAATGTTGAAAATGGAATTACGAAAATATGAACTCGTAAATTATCCAGATTTCGCTCGTTAGATCAAATCATAATACCGTGTATTTCCTCTGCACAGAAAATGAGGAATATTTTTTTCACATTTTTTTAAAATTAAGTCTAATTACTCGATAGTTGATTTGAAATGCAACATTTAAAGTAATAAATTGTAACTTTAAATGAATTAAAACTAATTAATTGATAGTTGATTTGGAATGCGCGACGTTTAAAGTAATAAATTGCAATTTTAGATTGAAATCAGATGCCAATTGCGAAACGCGTGTTTCAGATATGTAAACATACAAATCACTAATGTTCGATAAAATTTATAATATTTGATCTTCGTATAACGTAAACAGTATAAGCATCTGATAAATAGATTTGGCTTACACGCCCAATCGCGGACAGACGAGACTTAGGTAAGCGCGGAAATCCTGGCGACGATATTTCAGGAGCACCTGATTATCCGCGCTCGCAACAGCCGTCTTTCGTGCGTAAAAGGTGTCTCGAAAGATTTGTTGCTTCGGAAGCGTAAAGTATTTCCGGCTTGCCAACCAAGCGTCGTGGTTTCGCGCCTTTGGTGTTAGAATTTTGCTAGCTTTTATACATCGTTATATATATTATTTTATTGATTAACGATATTTTTTTAATATAATACGTTTTTTAACTGTAGAATTCATTTATATTGCTTTTATAATAATAAAATGTGTTTTTTAACATACATGTGTTTTGACAATACAATTATTTTATTAATAAATATAAAAAGATAGTGTCCCTTTCATTTTTCCTTTTTTATTTCAATAACATTGTATATATTTTCTAGATCAAGTGAAATTATTATCAAAAATATTATGGATCTGATCAAAGATATACAGGTCAAGGGCGCGAGATACTTTATTAATGAATCCGTCAATAGAAGTTCGAAATTTATTGACAGCCGCACTTACGCCTCTTTTTTATTTTTAGTTCTCCATTATATAACTGAGACTATTATTTAGTTCAGGGTTGAAATCTAATATAAGGCTATCAGCCGTGTAGCATTATTTTAATTCTACGAAGGTATCTTATGAAAATCCGCGTAAATTGTTAATCAAGAAGAAAAAGAGATTATTCCAAGACAACAAATATTTGTGCAACATGGTACTTTTACGAACAAGTTATACAACTAAGAGCTCGATTTAATTGCGCACAAGGACGTTCTCCGATTTCTCTCCTACTTCAATAACGATGAAGTAAATCTTACGGTAAACATAATCTGCATCAGTCTCGCTCTGTGTAATTGGTTTAATTAAATCTCGGGACGTCCTTAACGAGCTCGGCCGGTCGAGCGTCACGGCACACGGAAGCTTACCTTGATTAAAGTCCACCTGGCCGAAGGAGGCGCTCCTGTAGGGCGCGCCGGCCCTGTGAAAGGCGAGCAGCCCACGCGGCTCCAGCGTCGTTATGGCATCCTGAGCCTCCCCCTCACTGCCGACGGAAGCGGCGTTCAGGTTCAGGTTATCGCACAGATCGTCCACACTCGTAGCACTGTCCACCACGGAATCACTATACTGTCTCAAGTGTTTTGCCGCCTCTGCATTAGCGTTCTGTTTGCTCCTGAGGTCACTGACGTCACCACTGTTTCTCTCGGGTCTGCCCGTTCTCGAGGACTTTCTCGAGTCGTGGCAGGGCTTTCGGTACACGTCGTTTCCCGACCGATCACTAAGACGCTCTGCGGACGATCGTTTTCGGATGGTCCTTCTGCTGCTGATGCTGATGTTGCTGATTGTTGCCACCATGTTGACCGCCCTCGCTGTATGTAAAGTTGCGATGAGATGGGCGACTCTCGCAGCGACCGCAACCTGAATTTGAGTCCGTCTGAAAAAGATCCACAAAAATTTTGTATAATCAAACTTCTCTTACATTGTGTCTCGAGTTATAAATCTGGCAGAAATATGCGATGCTCTTGTACGTCAAATTGTAAATACATACGCCTACTTCATTTGTGGGTGGATTTTAATTAGATGTGTAATATTACATAGTCAATAAATCAGATAATGATTTATAGATGTGTGTGTATGTATGTGTGTGTGATGCGTAATAATTAAAATATCATTTCAATAACCTTTGACCTCTGTTATTCTCTGCTGCCCTTAATAAGTATCTTGCTATATGACATCAGTGATATCATTATAACATCGTAACAAGAATTAATAAACGTGATATCAAATCGCGCAAATTTCGATGACCTTTGACTTATTGATTAAAATTAACTTGATGTTATATGGACTAATTCTTGTTATATATTGTAATGATGTTACCACTGATGTTATATATAGCAAGAAATATATTTAAAGATAGCAAAAAATATATACATGAAAATTATGATGAGTAGAATGGCGATCACATTATTTGTTGTGCGTGCGTCCCTTATGTGTAGATTACAAGAGAGCGATCATCGTTATACGCGTCTTGGAATGCACCGAGTTCAGCGAAATCGTGACAAAGGCGTCTCGCGAATCGTGAAGTTCAGCAAAACTCTTCTCGGAACGAGCGACAAGATGGGCATTGAGATTCATTAATGAGAAGTAGATGTATCGGCTATTTCTTACGTCGGAATGATTCAAATATAGTTATTCTCTCTCTCTCTCTCTCTCTCTCTCTCTCTCTCTCTCTTATAATGATAACAACCCAATATTTTAAACATTTAATATTGAGATTTATATTTTTCTTAATCATCTTCAATGAGACTAAAATTTTAAAAAATATAATTTTAATTAATAAATCTTACTTATATATAAGTGGATATAAAGAAATTTAATAATAAATAAATATTTCGTTACGATAAAATATTTTGCGCACCATATAGAAAATCATGGTCTTCCTCCTTTTTCTCGTTTATTGACAATTTGTAAAAAAAATCTTATTCCATATACCGTAATATAAATTGTTAAATAATTATGTAATTTCTCCGTATACTTAATTTTATAATAAAATAATAATATTTTATTTATGATATTTATTTGATAATAGTAATAAGTAGACATTCTCTTCTTCTTGGCAATATATTTAAAGCAAACATATGTGTGGAAATGTTGAAAAAAAAAATTACTCTGGTGCGAAAAATATCGTTCGTTCGTGCGCAACAGAATACGTCGAGCTCTCGTCACTATGACGTTTGGAATTCCTCACCTGTGGATAATTTTGAGACGACGCCTGGTATCCGCTCGGAGGAGGGGAGGAAGCCTGGACCCGCGACGGTCTTCTGGGTGGCGGAACCGGTGCCGGTCCCTTAAGTTTCTCGGTAAGCTCGCGAAGGCGCTCGGCCTTCTCGCTGCGGGGGCCGGAAGAGGACTTCTTGCCGCTTCCTCCTCCGCCCCCGCTCCAGCGAAACCTGTGCAGTCGGTCCACCGCTATCACGGCTGGTTCCTATAGCCGGACAGGGAAAAACAAATAAATTTCGCAGTTTCGATAACGATTCGATACGCATAGATACGCAGAATCAACTCGTGAAACACTCGTGAACACACAAATAATCATGTTTATTTTTCATTACTCTCAATTATTCATCTTCAATAATTTGAAACAATATTAGCAAAGTTTGATAGAATTAATTGGTCAATCTTTAATTTTGAATAGCGCTAGACTAGAAATTCAAACTATCGAAATAAAATTAATTTATCTTGTTTCTTTTCAGGTTTATATTCATTGTCAGTTATAAGAAATAAAATTCGAGGAATGCAATGTTATATTGCAGTTTCATTGGGCAGAGAGAATAACCTTTTTAAAATAAAATATATATAAATTCCGTTTCGAAACAAAATTTTAATTAAGATGTTTTGTTTCTACTATTTTTTCTAATATTTTTACTAACATTTAATAGAAACAGTATTGATATTAAAAAATTTTACTAATTAAAAAATATCAAAGTGATATTATTACTGATGTTTAATGCCGTTAAATAAATAATTGGATAAATAATTCCGCAGAAAAGAAAATTTTATAAAAATATTTTCCCCCCTTTTTGTCTGAAATTGAACTGGTAGTTTAAAAAATATATTTTTTCCATTTAAAGATTGAATTAGAATTGAATCAGAAATAAATCTTATTGTTAGTCAAACTGACTAAAACGCTTGTTGATGAATGATTTGCTCACTGATTGAGTTTTCTAAAATAAGTACAATTTAAAGAGATACTCTTTGCTAATCTCCTCCTAATTTTCAAAAATCGAAGACAAAAACTGCACTAATTTGCTTTGCGTCTGTCCACGAAGCAAATCGGTGCAATTTTCTCACAAACGCACAGGCATGCATCGCGCTTGTAATAGCGACGTGCATCGCGCTCGCGAGAGGATGTTGCGCGGACGTAATCGCGACAAAGTGGCAGGCCCAGGACATCTTATATGTATGCATACATAAGTGTCTAGTCGAAAAAGAAGCGATATTCTATTTTCGTCGCCTCTATCTTTTCCCCCTCGGAACAGCGGCGTGCCGCTGCGCGTGAAGCGATCCAAAAATCGGGCGGACGCGCGAGTGCGCGATTTTAAAAAGTAAATGAAGAAAACCGAGACGGAGGGAATATGTGTGCGGAAAGATCAAGCGTGAATTTTGGCACAGCCTCTTTGCAAACCGACGAATTTTCCTGGCACGAAGAGACCGCGAGTGTTTCGAGGCAAAGTGGATGCTTTCTGACAGTCTCGTAAAAATGAAAAAAAGATTTTCCTCCACAGTAGAAAAAGCAGTTCAATCATAAAGCTTCTTTAAGCGCAAGGAAAATTATGTTATAAATTTGTTAATAAAATAATATTAAATATATTTTTTTTCAACATGTTTATACCACAGTGAAGATTTAAAAGATCTTTCGAATGCTTTGGAAAGAAAAGAATATCGTTCTTAGATATTTTATAAATTTTATAGATATTTTAAAGATGTTTAAAGAAAATGACATCTTTCTTTCAAATCAATACAATTAATGTCTCTAATTATAGCTTCGCGCGCGCAAAGAGAGAGAAAGAAATTAAAATTTCCTCCGCTACGATGATTTTGTCATCTATTATCAAGAATAAGATAGTTTCAAGCCCGCCGCCGATAGTATTTACCGTCGAAGAGATTAAATTTTTCGCGATGACCTTGAGACTTACCTCGGAACTGCTGATACAGAGTCTTCCGGACCTAAGCCACTCCACCTTGTATCCCTTGTGACGACCTTTCGCACCTCACGCGGATGTCTACGCGCGAAGCTCGAACCTCGCGCAGATTATGGACGAACGCGATCGAATGCCCATCGCGAAAAAAAAAAGCGATCCACTCGCGAGCGATAGAATAACGAAACAAACGATCGACGAACAACCGATCGAATAAACCGAATGACTCGATTAGACTCAACAAGAAACAAATGATCGAGATTTCGACGAGTACCTGAAGCTTGAGCGTCTGATGCTTCGTCCACTGCGCGAGCTGCCGCGGCACGGAGACGGTCTGCGTCGTCGTCGGGATGCCGGACGAGTAGCCGAGCGACGTCGAGGGTGAAGACGGCGTCGTCGTCGGCGGCGGGTACGACGACGTTACCGCCGCCGCCGCTGTTTGTGGATAATGCTGTTGTTGGTAGTGATGCTGCTGCTGCTGATGGTAGTGGTGGTGATGGTGATGTTGGTGGTGGTGTGACTGCTGCTTCTGCTGCGGCTGCTGGCTGGTGCTGCCCATGTTCCCCACCGACGTTTGCACCGCGCCGTGACTATTATTAGCGAACGTCGGCGTCGTCTCCGCGACGCTCGCGATAGAAGCAGGAAGAGGCGGCGAGCAACCGCCGACGACGACGGTCGAAGGGCACGACGGCGTCGCGGACGTCATCGAGGACGTGATCGGGGTGAGCGGACAGACCGGCGGTGGAATCCGCGGCAGCGGAAGCCGCGACCGCGGGCCGATGCAGCAACAATCGGCGATGCTGGCCAGATCGATCGGCGGCTTCTCCGCCGGTTTCTCCGTTAGCCGCTCCCGCGAGTCGCTCTCGCGCGAATTCCGCTTTCGCCGATGCTCCTGCGATTCCTCCCCAGAGTTGGCCGGCGGCAGGCTTTCCTAAAATAGATAAATCACACAATCGATATCTTGTTTCCATTCTTCGTAAAACAATCCCCCGTCATTACTTAATTTGTAACCGCGTTTTGAATTTACCTGACTGTCAGAAATATTGCTACTAACACATTTTCTTTTATCCAACATTTTTCATATTCAAGAGTAGTCCGTAAAATATCTCTTATGTTCCGGTCCCTTGAGTTAGGGACGCTCTATGCTCCACGCGCTATGTTAAATATATCTCGCGTTTTTAACCTTGTAAGAAAATGACATATGACAAGGTACAAGGTGTACCGTTGCGTACTCGACCGCTGAGAGCGCATCGTGTTTTATAAAGCTTTCTCTCCGCGTCGCTCCTAAATCCCGGCCAATCTCTTTTATATCACCAAGCCCAAGATAATATTTTCGATAGGCCGGAATCGATAATGACGTCATCGATCCACATGACGACAAATAACTAAAGACGATTTATATAGATCCCGGCAGGACTTGGCAGAGGACAACGCGCGAATGTGTCACATGAGATTCACGTCGGTCGTACGTGTCGGTGTGACGTCAACGGTGCTTATTATTCCGGACAAGCCGTGAAAAGAGAGGCGGAAAGTCGGAACGAGCAGCGGAGATGAGAACTGAAGAGTCGCCGCAAAATCGGCTCGAGTCAGTGACTGGCGGATTCTATTTGTGCGATCGATTCTAAGTTTAGGTCCTTCGACATCTTAATCTTGTTGTCGTGAATCGTCCCTGTCATGACTCGATCGAAGGTCGTTACCAATGGTCAAAACTCAAAGGGAAAGGCCGGATTAGAAGGAATTTAAAATGATGCAAGTTTCTTTCTCGTGGAATATAATATAAATTCCGCTGAATCTTATTTTTAAATAAGACTAAAATACTTTATCTATATATAATCTTTATTTAAAATTACTTCTTTAAAATATTTTATACAATTTTATTCAAAATAAATCCTAATTTAGAAAATTGTCGGTAAACAATCGATCAAGAGTAAAGATATATGTAAATTTTTGTTTTTAATTTAAAAAAAAAAGAGTAAACTTTCTCAATAATTTTTAACAATGTTGTTTTACATGTTAAAAAGAAGTTTACAAAATTATTATGTTATTTTTTATATTACCTTGTATTTCGCTATTTAAGGTTCAAGGTGAAATATCTAAAACGTTTTAAATAAATTCTATCGAGCGTATAATTAGCGTATTAATGGATGAATTGCACAATACCTGAGAGATCCGTAGGCCGTATCTGGTGCCACCCAGAATGACATATCCACCACCGACGCCTCCACCTGTCATGGCCCTCGCGGCACCCCCCAGCCATCCTCCGAAGCCACCCCCTCCCGTCCTCTGGGGTCCGCTACCCCCGTCTCCTCCGCCAGCGCGGGGCATTCTTCATCCTTCCCTCACCCTGAAATTCAAGTCGCAAGGCAACCTTTCGAATTAAAAAAGTAATCGAATACCGAGAATCGACACCTAAGGATGACACGTGCATCAATATAAAACGGAAAACGGGATGAACCTCGCGTTGCGTCGCGCGAAAAAGATCGGGGCTCGCATAAATTGCCCTCGGGTGCCTTGCGCGAGAACTAACGAGTTAGATTCATCCTACAAGATATTAACGATCTCTCCGTTTGAATTACAAGCGAACGGCTCACGCGACGGACGCATCACGCACTTACGTACGCAAAATGCGGCTCGCTGCGTGAATTACTGCGAACGTTCGCGCATTCCCCAATAACTGTCGGCCACGATTTTATTTATTTATCGTGCGCCATCGGCGATGAATGAAGCTCGCCTGAATTCACGAGCCACTAACCATTCAAAGTCGCGAAACGATCGCGCAGCTACCGGAAGCTTACGAGGCCATCGGCGCGACGGTAAGATCGATGTACCGTCGCAAAATTCTTTCTTGGCTCTCGTCAGGTCCGAGAACAAGCAGGACGACGTCCGAGGGGGGCCTCGTATTTCTGTAGATCGTTAAAAAAATTTGTGAGAACTCGGAACAAGTTTACGATTTCGGCGCAAGATATTTCGAGAGACCACGCGGATTAAAATAAATTGCGAGATAAATAACGCGGGAGAATAATGCGGAAGCTTAAAACAAATAATTATTCAAATCCTTGATTTGTAATACGACTTATAATAACAGCATGTTTTTTATATATATATTATTGCTCCTATAATTTAGAAAATTGCAATTTTATAGCTTTGCTATTCCTATTTTTAAAAATAAAACTAACAATAAGATATAATAAAAATATATTACTAATTTTCGTTAAGCAATGTCAACATATGTCGCAAGAGAAATATATAATTTCGTTTATATTATTGAGACTTTAAATTTGGTTTTCGCTTTTCTGATTTTTTTTTCATACAGACTTTTATTCTAATCTTTAGAAGCTAATAATAAGCGACAAATTACGACGTTCCCTCATTTTAAATGATACTACGTCATATTATATGTTCCAATATGAAATCGCCATTATCGAATCGTAAAAACGCGTAGCTGTGATATCTATAAAAGTCGTGGCAAACTGACGGATTTGAGAGAAATGATTCAAAGTCGCTGTCAGATCAATGTACCGTGACTCTTTCCATGTAAAATCAGATTCGAATTACGTATATACAATATGAATTTAATCCAACCTACACATGAGTTTCTCCCACATGCATTTTCGTCGTTGCATAAATTGCAAGTATAACTCTTTTTAGTCCTCTTCTTTTAAAATTTCAAAATCCATTAAGGGCTTTAATAATAGACAACATTATAATACTAAAAGTGTATGGAATAGTATGTAGAATGTGTAATAGTATTTAAATAATTTTTCTTCTTTTATGCTATGTGTATTATACAATCAATAAAAAATGAAAAAGAAAAAAGTATTAAAATGTCTTATTATATTCTCTTATTATATTTGAATAATATTGCAAAATTAAATAAATAACACTCAAAAATAAAGAATTTAAACGCAGTCACAGTTACGAGTCGCGTAAAATGTACGCTGAAAATATTAATTACACACACACACACACACACACGCATGCACGCACACGTAGAGGCACCTGGTGACTTGCATACAAAAGCTATTTATGTTCAGATATTTTCTTACAATTTATTACGCGTATGTTTCATTTTATTCTAAAGCCGTTTTATATACGCTTCGAAAGCCCCGTGTTATTGAGCCAATTGCGCATTTCCCACTGGGATCGATGGAAGATGTGCGTGATAATCCGAACCGGATCAGCTGATCGTTATAACGCGCAATTGTCGCGACGCTTCGCGGATCATTGAGTTTCACAGGTCGGCTGTTGGCCATTTATCGCACGCGGATAAATAAACAAGTAATTACAGCAAAACTGCAGTTATGCTGCATAAATTTCGATCTGCCACCTACATGCACCTCCTACACATTTTCATTACAAAATAATAACTTGATGGGGAATAACAACAAGTAGCGACAATGTGAGGCTTCACAGTATATATGTGCGTGTAATTGCCTATATAATAATAAAATATTTATGTAAAAAAGAAATGTAAATAACAAGAGAAATCTCACTTTTGCCATGTCTTTTTTAAAAACAAAGACACAATTTTGTTAAAAAAGAAATTAGATTTTATTTTTCATTTTATATATATTTATTTTTGATTTGTGCTATACTGTTCTTTAATCCGTTATAAAATTCAAATATAAAAAGCGCTAGACATGTAACTTGGCTGATGTTTAAAAAATTTTATGTGCCTCGTTCTTGACTCCGTGCGATATTAAGAAAGTTAACTGACAACTACCTAAATAAACAACGAAATTTATCGTGCATGCAACAAAAACGTAAGAATACAGATTTAATTGCGATTTATATCCGAGGAGTTGAAAAGTCCCGCGGTTTAATGGACATCCGTTTAAGTAGATAAGCGTGGCCGCGGCTGACAGATATAATGGATAAAAATTCGCAGAAATTTGCGTGTGTGTGGCCTTACGTAAAAAAGATATCCGTTCCAAATTTATTACTACCGTTAAAGCAAACGGGACGCTTTGCCGGACCGGAAGTTCTTGTCGTGCATTATTGCACCGCTACTCGAGATATCAATGATATTCGATACAATTCTTTTTTTTTCGTTTAAAACGGTTTTTTTTTATTCTGAGTAGACTTTCGATACTAAATTAACTTCCTTTGTATCTATGTGATTGCAAATTCTTAAAAACTGCCAAAGTAAATTAAATTTGTGTCGAGAATGATTTGAGAATTTTATGAACTTAGACTTCCGACACTAAATTAACTTCCTTTGTATCTATGTGATTGCAAATTCTTAAAAACTGCCAAAGTAAATTAAATTTGTGTCGAGAATGATTTGAGAATTTTATGAACTTTATATATCCACATATTTGAGAGAAATAAAAGATATTAAAATATGTATATCTGTGTATATCTTAAGCCTTATCTCTTTGATTATTTTCATATCGTAATCTTTTATTAAATTTCATAGTATCCGAAGTTGAGTAGATTTTTATCAAATCAGGAGAAAGAAGATTGTATCTAAAAAGTTCAATCAAAAATCCATGTGTGAACGATTCTTGAAGCATATATGACTATACTCGTCAAAGAAAGCCGCGCATCACTATCGTCCGTTAAAAGCCTTTTACATACCATTCACATGCATCGCTACCGTAAGATAAGAGGTCAACGGGTATCAGTTTCTCGTAGATAGGTATTCATTACGTTACTTTATCTGTAATCGATGACGGATCGATATCGCGAGTCGTTGAACTCGCGCCAAGACGCTGTCTTCGTCGTAGCGGCGCGAAAAGATGGAATATGGGAGGAAAAAAAATTGTTTCTTCCTCGCGTCGACGTGAAAAATGTGTTTATCAGCTACGTTACACCGTTTGGCGTCCATCCATTCCGTCTGAATTTTTCTAATATGACGGAAAACGTATTTTCGTACGTGAAAATCAGTCGCGAGTCGATAAACCGTTGTTTGCCTTGCTAACAGTGCGCATAATGCTGGTAAGTAAAAATTATTCCTGACGCTTCTGTGCGCTTTTATTTAATTATCTTTATCCTTGCTTATCTAATTAGTTCCTGCTGTGAAGCAACAGAAAAATATAGAGTAATATTAAAGCCGATGTTGAACCATAAAATATTAAAGTTATCTTTCATAATAGCTTTAAAATTATTTTTCTCTCTTAATGAAGACTTATTATTACTTGGCTGAGAGATATCTTCTTAATTTTTAATATTGATATGTTTTATCATTCATGTGAAAATTTTAAAAGTTTTCATGAAGTAGAAAAATATATAGAATAACTCTGAAAGAGATATGCTATATTTCCTTCAGTAATCTCTAATAAGTTTCTCTTTCAGTTTATTTATCTCAATAAATTTAAAAATTAAAGAGTCAAAAGAATTCATTATAATTGATTGGAAAATCTAATTGCCAATTCTCAACAGATAAGATCGAATGTGACTCGCGCTCGATGATTTTGCGTAGTGCGATAAAAGGCATTCAATCGATAAACACGCTGCCAAATAATGGAGACTGCACCAAGGCCAAATTAATATCGTTATATTTATTCCGCTATTTATTCATATTGCAATTTCCGAAACAGTCATATATCCGAATCTATCGCGCCATTCACTACATGCTATCTTGAAATCTTTAAGGCTTATTAAGATTCTTTTTTAAACTAAAAATTCTCATAATTTTATAAAATTTGTTTATTTAATATAATACTGAATTAAGTCGTATTGTGTATAAGTGTATGCGTGAGAGATATTAGGTATTTTATTGAAATAATAAATTTTTATGACACATATATATTGCATATTTTTTTATCTATCATATACGGTGAAATGGTTAAATGCAAAAGTGAGAAGCGAGCGAAGAACTATCAAGGTGAAAAAACAAAGTCGCGAGCAACACGCGCGAGCAATGCATCTTCGCGCGTTGCGATTTGATCGAAGGGGTTCTTGCCCCGGCGTAAGATCAAGATCGCGAAGAAAAGGAAGATCATGCTTTATCCGGCACGCGAAGCACGTAAGAAAACCGAAACGAAAGCGCAGCTCTCTCGCAGGCTCCAGCTGGATCGTTTCTATTATAAACGCGCGCATCGCGATCTATTCGGTTCCTCAATTGAATCAATTCACTCGATTAAAAAAGCGATTCAACATGATTTATATTCGATCGAACGGAGCATATTATTTTCGTTTGCAAGGATTTTTCCTATTCTCATCTTTTCTATATTAAATTTTTTTATTTCACGAAAAAGAAAGGTTACAAATATATTTATATATATTACACGATAATTCCAATTATTTTTGCAAAGAAACATACGCTTGAATTTACTTTTATGACAAAGAAAATAATATATGTCAGCTTAAACAAAATTTTTCAGTCATTACTGGCTTGAT